AGAATATTAAAGAAGTTTCTAGAAGAATTCAGAAAGTTCTAGAACAATCTAGAGAAGTTTAGAATATTTTAGAAGGTTCTAGAGGGAATTAGAATGTTTCAGAAAGTTTCAGAAGGATTTAGAAGGTTGGAGAAGACTTTAGAATATTATAGATGAATCTAGATACTTGTAGAATTGTCATGTGCAAAATAAGTTGGAAACCTAGAAGGATCTAGGAGAGGGGAGATGGTAGAATATTCTAGAGAATCTCCCCTAAAAATGTCACATGTCAATATTCTCTAGAATAATCCTAAGATGCCTATAAATAAAGCATTTGGGGATTGGATTAAGGAAACTAGGGCACAAGTAGTCTTCCACTTTCAAAAAATAATAGAGAGTAAAAGAGAGAAGAAGGAAGGAAGAGCATTTCATCAAAGGAAATTGTGAGAAAAAGAGAAAAGACATCAATAACATCTCACTCTACTTCGGGTAACAAGCAACACTCAAGCAGCATATCATTCTCTTTGCACTTAAGGTGAGTAGTTTGACATGCTACATATTTTCAAAATTTTCCCGTATCCCTAAACATTTTAAAAACTTTTTCATTACTACATTTACAAAATGTTTTACTAAGTGTCTAAATATTTGTGGCATACGATTCTGCATTCTTGATGAATTCTTGTAACTTAATCATTTATATGGTGAGACTTAGTGATGGTAAATGGGACCAAAATTAAAAGTTCAGAGAAATTATTCTTCTGTGTGCGGGTGACTTTGGCCACTAGGGAACAGACCCGGGGGAGACTGAGGCGACCCTAGTGCTCAACGGTTGAAGGAACAGTGTCTGGTGCGTCCTAGTGACCTTCACCGGATCGTCTTAGGGAACAGTTATAGGGCGGCAACCCGTGGTGACCCTAAGTACGATGCTGAATCCAACTTGAGATATATTCTAGCATTTGGTACTGAAAGTCCAGGAAAATTATTCCTCTGTGTGCAGGTGACCCTGGCCACTAGGGAACAGACCCGGGGGAAGTTGAGGTGACCTTAGTGCTCAACGGTTGAAGGAACAGTACCTGGTACGTCCTGGTGACCTTCACCGGATCGTCTTAGGGAACAGACCCAGGGAGGCTGTGGTGACCCTAAATACGATGTTGGATCCAACCTTGAGATCTTCTAGCATTTGATATGGTTCTCAGATATCGTACAAGTCCTTACCAGTATGAGATGATTATATAATTTGTTATTGTCACAACGTTTTTTTTACTGGCTTTGTTTATGATTATCTGTCGTATGTCATACATATTTTCTTGTATTTGGTATTTAGTTTCCATCGATTATTGGATATTGTACAGTCTCCACCATTATGATATGATTCACCATTGTGGTATGATTTCTTGTTGAAATCCGATTGTGTTATTTTTGAAAAATTGATTATCTTGATGAAGTTATTTTTTCGAACTTTTGATTTACATGTCATATGCCAAATATGTTTTTCAGTCACTTTGAATATGCATGTCTTTCCATTCACTGGGCTTTTTAGCTCATGTTTTCAAAATAATATTTTTTTTTCTAGGTAAACGATTAGAGTGTCAATAGCGGACTCAGGGAATTGATTTGGGACTAATAGTGTTGTGACCTCCGTAGCATATATCGTATAACCATCTTTACTTGTTTGGATAATTGGGACAAACAAGTTTAGGTATGTTGACTTTGATATATTGACATAAGATCAATTTAGTGTTAATGTTATTTTTCGCTCCTATATTATTAGTTTATTGTTGGTTCACAGCCGGTCATGCCCTTAGAGTTGGGATGTGACAGGCAGGCCCAACCAATTCGTCTCCATCCTCTAGCGCTGGACACTTGGACTGGAACTGTATCTGGAACCAGAAAATACCATATAAAATTAAGATTTTTGTTTGGCGGGTCTGTTCCAACATATTACCAACAGGGGACAATCTTCAAAGAAGGAGAATTGAGGTGAATAGGTGTTGTGCAGTGTGTCAAGATGAACCTGAGTCCTTAGATTGCACTTGCCTAAGGGATTGCACTTGGGCCAAGGCAGTATGGTGTTGCAGCTCGTTAAAGTATTAAGGCAGTGGGTGCGTGAAGCTCATCAGGCCCTCCAAATTGATGAGTTTTCTTTGTTCCTTATTCAGTGTTGGTTTGTGTGGAGAAACAGAAACATTAGAATTTTTGAAAATATGGTTCAAGACCCCCAAAGTGCAGATGAAGGCAACTGAATATTGCAGTCAATATAGGGAGGCAGCAGCTCAGCCCCTTGCCGAGCAAACTCCCAACGTTGGGTGGTGTCCTCCAAGGGCAGGTACTTTCAAAGTTAACTTTGATGCTACTGTATATGCAGATCGGAATATCTTAGTTGTGGGGTAGTCATACAAGATGATAGGGGTTACTTTGTAGGGGCCCTATGAGTTGTAATATTAGAAAAGCAGAAACTATTGCAGCAAAGATTGCAATACAATTTGCAAAGCAGCAAGAAATAGTAAAAGTCATTTTGGAAGGGGTTTCGATATGTGTTATGAATTCTATAAGGAATGGTGATAGAGATTTTGATCCTCTTGAAGCTATCTTCCAAGATATTAGTAGCATAGAGAGGAGTTTTCGACTTTTTGAAGTATCCGAAGTTAGACACAACTGGAATAAAGTAGGTCATGAATTAACTCGTTTTGCTTTACCATTAAATAGTAGCGTTGTATGGTTGGAGCAGGCACTAGACTTTGTTATGCCTCTACTTTTAGCTGACATTCCTGAGTAACAAAATTTTATCGATGTTTCTCAAAAAAAGAAAAAAAAAACACTTGCTCCATCTACCGTATGGCCAATTGGTTGGTAACTTCGTTAATAGGCCGATCGAGTTCATACCATCTCATTTGTTTACTCTACTCATCCCCTCGATTATTTTTAGTAATAGACACGTGTGCAAGTCTCATTTAACTCTCCACCTACAAATCCTCTACTCAGATTATATGTTGATACGCTAGCAATCAGCTTCTGGCCCGAAAGCAGCTTCTGCCCAGGAACTAAACAGTCTGTGGGCTGATCAAATGACTGCCAAACCGTTGCATTGTTTCTGTCAAAAAGCACAAGGTTCCCCATTTCTGTCAAGCTTAAGCCTGAAACATTCTTACCACTAGTGTTTGTCGACCAAACCAAGGTTCCATCTGCCTCTCTCAACACCAAATCTCCATCTTCTGTGAGGTTCACTGTTGCATTAATCTTGACAGGATTGTCTCGATTCGCCACCAGACTACTTGTGGGGGTCTACTATTACCAATACTATTGTTGCAATAGAAGCCACAGAAAAATTGTGGGTTAGAGCTTCCTGCTCCTGCATGAAGAACAGTTCTAAATGTGATATCATCTGAGGAATTCATAGGCGTGGGATTGTTGGTCCAGGAGGTCAATAAGTTGGCCATTGTGTAATATAAAGGTGTTGCAATGATCAAATGTGAAGAAGAGATGATCAGAAGAGCAAGAAAGAGAAGAGAACCACAAAGATTCTGAAATTGCCCCATTGCTACTTCCAATGAGAAGTTCTACTTTCTGGAAAAGAAGCTTGGGGAGAAGGAAAAGTATCAAACAATAAATTCAGAGTGCTTATTGCACAATAATACACTGGTTTGTAAGTCAAGCTACACAGTTTTTTGGCTGGAAGTCAAGTACTTCACGACTGCCACTCATATAGTTATCTAGATATTATTAAGTTTGGCCTTCCTTTTTCTGCTCTGCATTAAATTGGCAATACTGGCAATCAATATTAATAGTCATTGTGGATTCAATAATAATAATGAATTAGATTTTGAGAGTAGGTCTAATGGTAAGTTGTATTCACTTAGAGTCGTACGCATTTAATGTCGTCCTTGACCCTCATATGATTACCAAACATGATTTGATTCATGAGAATAACGCAGTTTATTATTTAACTTTGATAATGCGGTGGTGACAAACTGTCATACCAAATTAGTAATTATAACTCAAATCAAATATGTCACGATGGAAAACAAAACACAACCGGGTTGTCATAACGACATGGCATTAATTTAGCAACAATTTGCGTGCTTTAGGTCTAAATGTGTGAACAATGACCCGTAATTGTCAAGGGTCAAGTCATGCATATGAATAGTTCCCGTGAAGCAATTTGTCTGCACGCAACCCATTCTGAGTTCAACTACTAGGTCTTCGGGTCCGAGCTCAAAATTTTATTTTGATGTATTATTTTAAGCACTTAGGAAACAAAAATATTTTGACGTATTTCAAAAACGTTTCAACCAGTTTTGAAAATATAATGGAAAAATTAAAAAAATTAAAATTATTTTTTCAAAACATTGATCAAAATGTAATAAAATATCTTGAAATACTTTAAAATATTCTAAAATAATTGTACAAATGTATTAAAATATTACAAAACATCTCAAAACATTATAAAAAACCTCGAAATATTATAAGTTTAATTTCATTGTTGATTCGTTTCGATGACTTGAAAAACAAAAACATTTCGGATTATTCGACTATTTCAAAACAAAATTGTGATTCTTACTCCTGATGCTGTCATCGTCTAGTGCCTTTAAAATGATTTTAGGGATCTTTCTTCAGCTGACCTGATTTGCCATTATCCAACCCTCACTTGTGCAAAATTTCCAGTCAGACATACTCCAAAACAAAAGAGCGAAGGGTTATGAAATGTGCAGACAAGTGATCGTTGTCTTGAAATAGCAAGACAAACATAAGACCAAAGATCAAAATTTTGTTATGATGAGCTTGAAAATAAAAATATTTCGGTAATATTTCGAAAACATTTCAGAAATAAGATGGAAACAAAGAAAATTTAGAAAATTTATTTCCAATACATTAATCAAAATATACATAAACACTTAGAAACATAAGTTGAAACATGCCGAAACACATCAAAACATCTCAAAACATAAAGAATTTTGATACTAAATCAATAATTCATTTTGGTTTCCATGAAAATGGAAACGTTTCAAACCAAAATTTAGTTTCTTGCATAGGACAAAGCTTTAGAATTGCCAGAATCTTAACAAAATGTCAATGTTAAAAACAAGATTACCGAGGGTTACTCCAAACTGAAATATAGCAACACTTCGAATGCAATACATCTAGTCCATATTGAAGTAGTATAAAGAAGGTAAGCTATGTCTCTGAGTAGTGATTACAGCAAACATAATCACAACTTAAAGCCTTCCAACGGCCTGCGTAGATGTTGTTTTATTCAACTTTCTCCATGAATATAGCCTTCAATTTTCTTCATACTACAAAACTTTATGAGTCACCCCTAATCGAGACAATAAAATGGTTGCATAATAACGATGCCCCAGCTTTGCCAAAAAATCATTGAAGTGCTCGACAAAGTCCTTGCCACTTCACGAACTCTTCTTTTAGTGTTGTTAAAAACTCTCTCACTGCATGGATAACAGGGAGAGGATTCTCAAGATGGGCAGCATGCCCGCAGTTAGGAATTTCAACTATTGCTGGATGATCTCTACTCCATGTACCAGAGTTGATAATCGAGCACATGTCCTGAGCAATCCTCTTAAACTTTGCATCTTTCTCTCCAACAATCAGCAGAACGGGTACTTTGCAGTGTTTCAAATCTTCCCATAATGGCCTATCATATAACGAGGAAAAATGTTCAACTGATTACAGAAAATTTTCTGAGAAACATAGCTCATGCAAGAGATGAAGATCTCGGCACAGCCTTGATTATCAAAATGCACATGCCAGCCCACTAAAGCAGCCTTATGTTGGGTGGCTGTATACTTGTATTTACCTGAGTAGTTGCCCTTGTGTGTGGAATGGACAACTTTGATTTGATATGGTGTTAGCTTGTGGTACAATGATGCTATTGTTCCCATGAACTTATTTCATTATCGTTTGTCAGATAACATCTATTTAGATAACATACTTTAAAGAATTCTTTTTCCCCAAGTAAACGACCTAGTTCAAGACGACAACATGATCATTCCTTTTGAAAAATTCAGACTTTGTTCAACCCCTTCAAATGTGTCCTGAAGGTGATTTAGCAGGTATAGCAGTTTTTTGAGAAACTGAAACTCCCTATGTAGATGAAAATTGGAAAAACTAGAGAAACTTACAGCTGCCTCCCAACACTTGAATCAGATAAAACTTTAGCAAGAGTGTGCACGTCATCTTGCTGCAAACGGTTAGCTACTATTCGCTTGAAATGTGGATGGCCTCTTAAGCTGCAGGTTTAAAAGATATTATCTAGCAGGCCATACATTTAAGCCAAAAAACTAGTACAACTAAAGCAAGAATAGAAGCAAACATTTGAAAGAGAAACCCAGTAACTACCTGCTCCACAGCTCTCCAGCATACCAGCTGTCTAGAAAGACCTCTAGGCCATATGAAACAAGGGAGCATGCTCTGAAATCATCTTTAGCACAACGAACTTTCCTTGCTTCTCTATCAGTCAATCCGGGGCTTCCAGAAATTATAACAGCTCCTTGAACCTAATATAACATATGCTACTTCTACGTTAGCTGCTTGACTATATACGCTGCTTGAAATGAGAAAAAAAAAACCCAATACATCCATGAATTACCTTATCACTGCATTTCAGGGCCATGTATAATGCAATCCTTGCACCCATTGAGTATCCAACAAGAGTAACTTTCCTATTTGTAAGCTGATGAAACAACTTGCATAGCATATCTCCAACTACCTCAATTGACCAATTTGGTTCTTGTGCTGCCTCATGATCGGACATTTTTTGTAACTTAGATCCCCCATGTCCAGGAAGATCAATTGCAACACATCTTGCAGATCCTGAGATGGCCTTCATAATGGGAATCCAGTCTTCACCAGTTCCAAACAAGCCATGAAGAAACACAAGTACACTATTCTGCATCAATTGGAAGAGTGAGCAAGTAAGAAACGGTCATAATTATGAGTAGCTAAATTTAGTCCTTTCAGAGCAATGAGAACAACAGAAAACAGACCAATTTAACAAGCTAAGCTGATGGCATGGAAGTGATCCAGCCACATTCTAGAGGAAATAATCACAGATACAAACCTATGTAGGGCAGAGATAATTGTTCAAATCCCAACATGAAAATTGCTACATATAAATAGGTAGCAGAAATTATCAGAGAGTCTCGTAAAGTACACACAAGAAGCAATTGTAAATATATTTATATGCATATAGTTTATATGAAGTAATAAAGGAAAAACATATCTGACGACAAAGTATGATACATTGGGACCAGAAAACAAACCCATATCTTTGTCATAATTCAGAACCATGCTCTTATGTTCTATGCAATATCTTCGTCCAATATTTTCAGTGTAGTCTAAATATCTGTCATTATGTAGGCAAGTTGTAGAGTTCTCTAGAGTTGTTTCAGCCAAGTGGATGGCAGGATACATCTTAATAAACAAATATAACTGTATACGGATAACGTATAGATCCTTGCTTACATCAATGCTTGGTCCACTCTCTTGAATATTGAAGGAGAAGGAGAAATGCTCTGAGTCGACTGATAACTGGTAATTACGAACTTGCTCCCTAGTAAAGGTTCGAACAATGACATTTTTATTGATCTGAAATTTCTGCAGCAGCTGAACAGCATCAACAATAGATGCCTCCACAAAGCCACTACGTGGATTACGACAAATTTTCAGAGGCTCAGTCGTTACATCTTCTTTAAGCCATCGGTAAGTCCCAAGACCATGGATGACGGATAATGCTGGTTCCTTATTCATCACTCTACACAAAGCTGCATTTTGAAGCTCAACATAACTAGAGAACTGAATATAAGCCAACAAACCTAGGCCACTTTCAAATGCAGCACTGACAACAGCCATCTTCCCATGCTGCTGAGCCCATCTTGCAATCAGTGCAGCATTTTCAAAACCCCCAACAATGCTTGGTTTGATAACCTGACAAGACCCATCATAGCAAAATCAAATTAGCAGAAGATCCTTTCCCAGTGGTTGCAACATGTTTTTAACAAGATTTCGGAGATGAGACACCAAGGCCACAACACAATTCATTTTGGGGATTGAAAAACTTTTTCACCTGCTTGTATCCTAAATTTTGTTAGTAGCTATAGTTTTGTTGCAACATAAATGTAGGTCTTCAGCAAGTAGTACTTAGAACAACAGTAATAATAACTAAAATAAGCATTAAAAACTTATGACATCTAGATTTATGTAGACAGAGACAATACCACCATTCTATGAAAATGCTTGCTTGGGTTGACTTGTATCCAATTGCTGAAATGTGGTAGGCATGAGGTTTTAATATGGATAACATTGAGTGTAAAATGGATTTTACCCCTTATGGTTTGGCCTTAAAGAACTTTACCCCCTTTTGGTTAAAAAATAACCAAAAACAACCATGTGGTTTTTAACTAATGTACTGCCGCTAAAGAAGCAACTGTAATGGCAACAACGTTCATCAGATTGTGAATGTGGCTGTTGAAATTGAAACCCAGTTTGTCTGTGATGACCTCCCATGAGAAGTGATTGGTATGAATTTAACACACTGAGCCAATTTATACAGTTGGTCATCGACTCCCCTCACAATTCAAGCCAATGCCACCCCATGTCTCTCTCCCTTGAAAATTTCTTCTGTGTAAAGCCGATTTGGTTAAAGAATAAGAACACGTTGACATAATAGCAGATTCTATGGACCTACAAGAGTATATTTGAATTTTCAATTTTTGCCCTTTGAATTGTTGGTTTTTTTATTCCATTATTTTAATTGAAGCTAGAAGAACAACGGAAAGAGAAAGAGAAGACGATTTAAAACCATACGGGCTAAAATGCTACACAGCTAATCACGGAGGGTACAAGAGAGTTTAACCTAATATCGAATACCCATACTTTGCACTCGGATCTCAAGCAACATTGAATAACAGGAACAACATCAGCAAGGCAGAGGTTGTTCTCATTAAATTAATATATGATTGGAAAGTTTTAGATAGATTAGGTTGCCATCTGAGTGGATGAAAATCTTTCCCAGAAAAAAAATTAGGTTAAGATCACTAAAAGGCGAAGCATACCACCAAATGGAGCCTAAACTACAAGAGGTATATTTTAATGGAATACATAATCCACAAACTGAGAAAGGCAATGATGATGATACACTTATACTTACAACAGCAACTATTCTTGAGTGGGTGAATTTTGCAAGCACCTCAAGATGGTTGTCTGCAATATTGTCCAAGGTTTCATCCAGTGCTACAGGTAAGCCAGTTTCTTCACAAAATTTAATTATGTCATCCTCATCACTAACTGGTTCCTGAAATAACAAAGATTTATAATAGAAATTCGAGGGTGAAGGTGGATTGGAGAGACCAAACGTTTGACACTACTTGCAGAAAGTGGTGTGCTACAATTCTACACATTGAGCGTTATTTATTTTTAGGGAGTTGGAATGTGTAGTACGGGCATATTTGCCATGTTCCCATGGAGCATACCTCAATATATTGCAGGTCGCAGTTTTTCACAGCAAACCCAAATCGAATTGCTTCATCATAGGTCCATTTCCGATTCGCATCAGCACGGAGCTCAATCTGGTGCCCAACCTTCTTTCTTACTTCCTGTATAACTGCAGCATCTTCAATGGGATCGGCTCGACGTGCTACCTTTAAGTGGAGAATTAACCAGTTAACATATAAACTAATCTGAGGCTGACAAGATTGGCTGAAATTATAGTTTGCCAATAATAACACATCAAGTATTAACAATGTTTTATAGCATCTCATTTGGAACAGAATAAAATCCGTATATCATAATTTGGAAAATATCATCTAACCTTTAGCTTTATTGCAGAGAACCTTCTTCTGCAAGTGTAGTGGCAACATAAGCGACATCCTTGGGAGTCCCATTAGAATCAACAAGGGCACAAATTTTAACATTTTGTGACTTCCAGGATATTTTTTCTTGCTTATTCGCATGCAAATATAGTATATTCAATAAACTTGAACCTTCCCTAGCTGCTATAGCATTGAGGACAGCCATCTCCAAACCACATCTGACACTCGGACAAATTGAACCTGGCTACATAACAAGGAAAGAATGGACCAATGGAAACTTAACATCAAAGATGGCAAAGTTCAGGATTATGACTAGAAATAGGATCTCCTTTCCCTCATTTTTCCTAGCTGTTATATTCTGTAGGCACACATCACATATGCAGAATCAAAATGCATGGACCTACCGGGATTCCTAAACTGTTCCATATCCAAGATGAAAATGAGCCCTTCAGCAGAGGAAGAAAATAATCAATCTTAGCTCCTCCTATGATACGACCAAGAAACCGAAGTTGCTCTTCAGCATCCAGCAGGTTTTCTTTGTGTATTTCCAGAGGTGCTACCTGTTTAAAATAGTAATACGCATAAAACAGGAACGAAAAGGATTTAAAAAAAGAAAAAGTACAGATAATAAGAAAAAAACATGAGAATATAAAAAGAAAACAAAAAGGAGGAAGAGAAAGGAAAGGGGAAAAGGATAAATGGAAGGCTGTAGACGACAAATATGTATGAGATGTACATTTTCTAAAAAAATTTGGTTATGATTACTCTCTAACAGCCAAAAAATAAAGAAAAGAGAATTAAAGAAATGATTTGTAATGTATGAGTAACTATGTCACTATATAAACTTGCCCTCTTTTCAGAAATGTTCCTCTGCTATCAAAACCATGCATGATGCACCTAATATCAATAATAATGAAGTCCCTTCCTCCCAGCCATGCCCCTCATGTTAAACAACAGCAACTCGACATTCAGATTTTAATCTTCTTCAACTCCCAAACCAACCCAAAACTGAAGCACTGTGCGTATTGTCAAGCTGGGAAGATCAACTTCTTAAAACAATAAGGAAAGTTCACACCTTATACAGTGATTAGTTTTTTCAATGGAGAAACAAAAACCTTGGTGCGTTAAGTTATTTTCTAAAGGTAAAACAAAGAACCGGTAATCCCTATAGTTGAGTACCATTAAAAATTTAAAATAGATAACCGAACAACCACCTCAGTAAGCAATGACCACACCAAAACATTCGTTTTTCGAATCCAAACAAGAAAGTAAACATTATTCAGCTTCATCTTTGACATTTTTACATCATTGCCCTTCTAATTTTATGAGGACGTGTAAGGTCTTACTTTTGGATCTTCAGTTATAAAGTCTTAGAATCTACGTAATTACCAAAAAATATGTATATGGCAAACAAAGGTAACTTTCAACCACATAGGAAGGCATTGTCAGCAGCACACAAAACCCAAACGTCTAGCATTTCATATTACCAATTTTAGTGTCTTCACACTCTGCTTAAGTTTGTACGTACCTAAATATCGTTAATAATTAAAATTGTATCCTCCAAATACATTAGTGCCTTCAAAAACTGAAGTTTTACCTTTTGTTTTGTTCATTCCAGTTATCAGATGACAGCTGCAATGACCAAACTTCATATTTTCTTGTGCTAGTTTCAGTTTAAAGAAAAGAAAGGGCTTAGAGGCATTTTCACAAGAGTGTCAATGAATATCTGATTTAGAACATAGAAACATCAAATTTTTCCCATTTCTTGTTGTGAGAAAGCTCCATCTATCTTGTTGATGCAAAATAGATTGCAATACACCAGCTGTTCTTAGTTCTTTTAACATGCTATAGACTTTCCTCCTTACTATGGCAAAGCAGCACAAGAAACATTTATCAGGGTGAGCAATATGATAAGTGTATTTAGTTAATGGGCAGGGAGTAGGACGTAATCAGAAAACCATTTTTCTATGGGGATGAGTGGTCATCACAAAACCGATTCATCCAATGGAAAGCTATAGAGCAAGATCAAGCCACAGACCCATCCCATGGGTAGTAACACATATCCTTCTATAGACAAAATGTAGGTGAAAAACTTCAAAACTT